CTGAGACAATAGTCTGGTAGTCCTTTCATACTGGCCTAGGGTTAACCCACAACACTTTTGCTCAAGACTTCATTGCTGCTGCATGTCCAGATAGATGTGGTCCCAAGGCCAGTGAGACTCTAGGATGTCAATGCTCAGAGTTCTTTTTGTGGCCTCCTCTTTTCGTGCACAGGTCCTGCTCCTTGCAGTTTCCTGCCCCTGCCAGTCCCTGTGCCTCAACTTTGCTGGCCTCTGCCCCATCCCTCACCAGTCTCTGGAGACTACCAGACAGGGGGAAGACAGGAGGCTGAGACTACAGTGGTGGCCTTGGCATCTGTCCGCATTCTCCTTTGACCACACTACCTCTTTGCCTCGTTAATAATGTCAGCAGTTTCCCACCCTGATTTCTCAACTTGATTTGCCCTTTGGTCATTATATGTTTATTCTCTTTACTGGTTCCAACACTATGTAGATACGATAGAGTTGTCATTTCAGAAGGGTACAGAAAGAGGACAGTTTAGGCCCTGTTGATAGGGCAGTGGGTTCTGTATCAGAAAAATAATAAAGTTAGAGCTATTTCTTACCACACACAAAATGTATTTCCAGACAGATAAAACAACTAAGTAGAAAATACAGTTAAAGCAGGGGTGGTGGCGCATGCCTTTAATCCCAGCGCTCAGGAGGTAGAGGCAGGTGGATCTCTATAAGTACAAGGCCAGCCTGCTCTACATAATGAGACCCTGCTTCACAAAAAACAAAAACCAGATAATGGGCTGGAGAGTTGGCTCAGCTGTTAAAAGCCCTGGCTGCTCTTCCAGAGGACCTGGGTTTAGTTCCCTGCACCCCCTACTATCTGTAACTTCAGTCCCAGGGGAATCCTGTGGCCTCTACAGGCTCTGCAAGAATGTGGTACACAGACTGACATGAAGGCAAAACACCCATACACATAAAATAAAAATTAATCTTTTAAAAAACAAGTAATAATGATGGTAAAAATATAGCTGAAAATATGGGATGGCTTTGTTTTGTGGGTCCTGTGGGGGAGGTAGGTATACACATGTGAGATTGATATTGGGTGTATCAATCACTCTCCGCCTTATTGTATGAGACAGGGTCTCTCACCAAAACCCTGAATTCTCCCAATTGAGCTATACTGGCTGGCCAGCAAACCCAAAGGATCCTCCCGTCATCTAAGCCATACACAATCTATCACACACTTTCTCACCATTGATCATCAGATCACCAGCATACTGGCTATGCAAAGATGCAGGAGGTAGCACCTTGCTCAGGGTTCACAGTGGTGCTGTGGCTATTATCACCCCTAGTGGAGGACCTGGGGCTAGAGAAGCAAAACACTTGCCAGTTACTCACCTGACATAGCATTTGCAGAACTTCAGACTGCAATGGGTTTGCATGACTCCGTAGCATGCGTCAACATTTTCAGAAAACAGTAGATGCTCCTTGAGATCATAGATTAGAAATTTGTGGCAGTTTACAGGGGTGAGGCCAGAAGCAGTAGGGATCAATTTTTGCCACGACTGAGCTGCATTAAAGTTTTCCAGGCCTTATCACAGTGATCTGTAGTCCTAGCTACAGTGAAGTTGAAGCAGAAGGATTGTGGTTCAAGAACTGCCAGACTACTGAGTGAGTTCAAGCCTCCCTTGGTGACTTAATGAGACCTGTGTCAGAAAGTAAAAAAAGGGGCTGAGAGCTAGGCATGATGGCACATCCCTGTAACCATAGCACTCAAGAGGTAGAAGCAGGGGATCAAGAGTTTGAGGTCTGGATTATCCTCATCTATAGTAAGTTTGAGATCCTGCCTGGGTGGGGGATGGGAGGCTAAGGATCTAGCACAGTGGTAGAGTGCTTGCCATGCATGCATGCACAGAACCCTAGGTTTATGCCCCAGAACCATTCAAGGAAAGGGAGAAAGCATGGGATGAGCAAGATGGCTCAGTGGGTAAAGGTGCCTGTCACCATCTGACCTGTGCTTGATCTCTAGGACCCACTCAGAAGCAGAGAACCAACTCCCACAAGTTGTCCTGTGACCTACACACACACACCCCACAGTTAAAATACCTGTGTTTGCGTGCATAGACGTTAATCAAGCATGCTAGTGCACACATTTAGAGCCAAGCACTGAGAGGCAGAAACAAACAGATCTCTTGAGTTCCAGGCCACCCAGGGCTGCCTTGTAAGACCCCATGGTCTACAAGAAGGTGAATCTGAGGGGCAGGCTAGGTTGTAAGCAGAATTAAGAATTACAGGCCGTGGACTTACAGGTGATCGGCTGCAGGAGGATGGAAGCATTTGGTTAAGCAGTAGTCCTCAACCTTCCTAATGCTGTGACCCTTTAGAACAGTTCCTTAGGTTGTGGTGACCCCTCCAACCATAAAATTACTTTCATTGCTACTTCATAACTAATTTTGCTGAGCAGTGTGTCATTTCCTAAGACCATCAGAAATGTGTTTTCTGCTGGTCAAAACCCACAGGTTGAGAACCGCTTGATTCTAGCATAAGGAAGCCAAATCTGCAGGTTTCATGCCTGGTGAGCTCTGGCCAGTGTGAGTGGGGTGTTGACCTCTTAGGAGTTTTGAGTGGACTACATAAAGGTGCCATTTGCCAATTTGAGAATGCACAAGAGGAAACTTGGGGAGAATATTCAGTATTTGAGAATGTTTTGTATGTTTATCTGGAGAGAACTGTTTGCAACATTTGAATTTGTGGTGGGACTGGAGAGAAGTCATGGTTGGGGAAGGCGGCCTTTAGAAGCAGCCAGAGCTTGTAATTTGAGTGAAGTGTGTGTATGGCATGGGGGAAGGTCAAGACTGAGGTATGCAGGCACCTCCCAAGGTAAATCAGCATTTGCTCACTAGTGGCCTGGTTGGGGGGTGGGGGAGAGGAATCTAGGCTAGGACATTTACTTGGGCCAGGGGAGGCAGATTGAGTGATTTGTCCAGCAATGAGGGAGGAGCCAGATGAAGTCAATAGAAAACTAATTTTCTTTTCTGCTAGAAGAAATGAGGTGTGTGGCCGCTGGGTAATTGCAGATAACGAGGGGACTTATTCTTAATATGCACAGCGGCCATGGTCTCCAGAGTGCTGGAGACAGGGGGGATCTGAGGTGCCCTGACAGGGCTAGGTTTATTGGGGAAGAATATCCTATCCCAGGTTCCCCCAACTCTCAACAGTGCCATCATGGCATCTAGCCCTACATAACTCCCCAGGCTTCTTCCTGTCCTATTCCCCTGCCAACTGCCTAGCTCCTTCCTGTCATGCCTCCCTCTACCCTCTACCCCCACAGTACTGGCGTACTCACTAAGAGAGACAAATGACAGGGCCTCAGCTGAGCGGGGCGCGTGTCCGGCCCATAAACCACGGGGATGGGTCATGTCTGGAGTTGCCATGGCCGCCACTACCCACCCATCTGTCTTCTCCCCATTCTGCCTCAGAGCAGATCAGCCCTCTTGGCTTCCGGAGTCCCTGGAGAAACAAGGTTTCACCTCCCCACACCTCTGTCCACTGCAGGTACATATATATTGAACTCTTCTAAGACAGGATCTCATTTGATTGGCCTGCCCTAGGCCCTTGGCTAATGAGACTTTCTTAACTCAGGGGGTGCCGGAGACCCCTTTCCTAGGCCAAAGTTTTGGTGAGGGCAAACATAGAGGCTCAATGGAATGGAAAGATGCAGAGGCCCCCTGACCTCACCACCACCCCTGGCTTTATTATGCCATCAGTGTATGGTACTCTGCATCACAGCATCTGGCTAATGAGGGTAGAGTAGTGGCTGAGGCCATAGCTATGGCCCATGGACAAGGAAGGGAGGTGGGAGAGGAGTAAAAGCAGACAGTTGGGGACTCTCTGGGAAGCTGAACAACAATAAAAACAACAACAACAAAAAAGCCCACAAACAAACAAACCACAAAACAGGTGGATGGGTAGTTTCTGTACTAGATTTACTCTAGTGCAGTGGTTCCAACCTTCCTAATGCTGTGACCCTTTAATATAATTCTGCATATGGTGACCCGAACCATAAAATTAAGTTGCTACTCCATAACTAAATTTGCTACTGTAATGAATCATGATGTAAATATCTGAGATGCAGCGTATCTGATGTGACCCCAAAGGGATCATGACCCACAGGTTGAGAACCACTGCTCTTGTAGGTCAAGCTCGGTGTTGCTGCCTTTCCTGTATCTAGTTGTGGATCAGGTCTTGTCCTGGCCAAATCCCCAGAGTACCTGAATCCTCCAGGCTACCACAATAGCTGACAGCATGGAATTTTTCAGAGGCCAGTACTAGAGAAACTGATTGGGTCTCACACATACAGGCTATTTAACCTGGTATTTGAGCAGAGACAAGGTCCCAAAAGGTGGCCTGCATCTAGCCTACTGGGAAGAGGCAGGCTGAGGGTGTCTGGTGGGTGTGTCTGGTAGGGCTGACAGCACCTAGTAGCACCTTCCCTCCCCAGCCTGTGTGGAGCTACATGAGACAGATATCCAGAACAGGTGTTTCCCAGGGTTCTGGCACAGCTGTGCCAATTCTTGTGCCTTGTCACCAGTTGAGTATGGCCTGGACCACAGTCCCCCCCCCCCCCAGTGCCGACAAAGTCACCCTGGCTGTGGGTGTGATGAATGGCCGCACAGTAATGAAATGGAGACATCAAGGCGGGTGGCGGGAAGACGGAGTGTGGCGGACAGGCCGTCCCCACGCGGCAGCAACAAGAAGGATCGCCCAGCGGCCAGGGGCCGTCAAGGGAGAAATTACACATTTACTCTGCCTTTTTCTTACTGCGACGGCGCCCATACATCACCACTGGGGCTGGGATGGGACACAGCGGCCAATTTCCAGCATGAATTATGGGACTGAGAAGCGTAGGGTCCAGGCTTCCTGTAGGCCCAGTGTCATCTAGCCCAACCCAAGGCTGGAGATGTTGCCACCAGAGCCAGGGATGTCCTCCTCTCAGGCCTATGGCTCCCGAATCTGGCCCCTGTCTAAATGTCTTCTCTTCTTTCTAGATGACTGCAAGAACATTGCCAACATCATGAAGACATTGGCATACCGAGGTTTCATCTTCAAGCAGACATCAAAGCCCTTCTGATTGGCAGAGGACGGATGGGGCAGGACAGGGTAGCTGCTTGGCCCAAACCAGAATCCTCCTCTCCCTCGCTAGAGGGAGAAAGGAGAGTGGCACAGCTCTGCGCCCAGAGTGTCCCCAGATGCCCTGTGGGCTTGTGCCCTGGGTGAGGGCTTGGCCACTTGGCCCCTCTGGAGCAGACACTTTGTGCCCCACCCCCTCCCACTCCTCAGTCTCAGTCCAGTATTAGCCCCTGCCATTTTGGGCCTGGGCTAGGGGGAACCCAGGTACTCACTGCCTTCTCCCTGGTATGCAGGCTTCTGCTGGGGTCACCAAGTCTCCCCTGTGCCCCCTCCCATCCATAGTGCATGGTGTGTGGTGCCCCCAGGGCTCCAGGACAGATCAGGCCCCACCTTGTGTCACCCCCATCCCTGCTGTGAACGTGCCACTGAATAAAGTCGGGGAAACAAGGTCCTGGTGTGCACGGAGCTGTCCTTGTGTGTAAGGCTGTCGCTATGCTGACGCTCCAGGCTTCATCTCCATACAAAGCCATCAGCACATGCTGATGGCACTGCAGCACCTTCCATGCCTTCACTAAAGATGCACAGACTAGGAGCAGGGGACACTGTCTTGAACACAAGGACCTGCCGAAGCTGCTGCTGCTGATCTGAGTCCCCTGCTGTGTGCAACTTAAATACAGACCACAGGTGTTCAAGGTGTAGAGTCTGGGCAACAAAGAGGTGGTGAAGGGGCTGAGTGTGGCACCGCCAGCAGGCCTTTAGGGACGCACTGTAGTGATCAGCTGTCAGCCGTCACCCCAGCCAAGGATATGAGGAGGCAAGGAAACAATCAGTCAGCCCAGTCCAACGTAACAGCTCTATTTACACCATACCACCAACCCTAGTGGCCCCTCATGGCTTCTTGGCTTTCTTCACAGAAGATGAGCTGGAGGCGGACTCCCGTCGTTTCCGCTGAAGAGACACAAAGTGTTGGTGTTAGTGGCCTCTGAGATGTGACTCAGGGCTTAGTACCTTTTGTTCTCAGAGAAGAGGCCAATAGTCAGCCCACTCTTGTCCTCAGCCTGTCCCCTCACGGTGGCAACCGGAGCCAGGGCACGCTCCCCCAGGCCTGCCCAGGCTCTTACCGAATTGGGTGTGAGGGGTGCACCCACTACATCAATGATGGTGTCCTTGGTAGGGTCAAGGCCAAGTCCAGATTCAGACACTGCTGGCTCAGCAGAGGCAGGGGCTGTTCCCACGGCTGGCGTGGCAGGGCCCCCCAGCACCCCTGCCCGAGCCAGGGCCTCGTGCCGGTGCCGCAGCATCTGTAGCTCATATTCACAGTTGGCACAGGCCTGCTTGAGCTCGTAGAGTAACACCAGGTCACTCCGCAACTCGTTGAACATATGCACCAGCTCCTCTGTGGGGGTGGGGCTCAGCTCTGCAGGCAAGACAAGGCCGGACTGTGGTTGAAGGCCTGCAGTGTGAACTACCCTCCCTTGCACAGCCCCTGGGAGAGGGAGCTATCTATCGCACGAGGTTTAGTGTCACTCACCCACACCGAGCTCCAGCAGCATCTGTTCCAGCGCCTTGATCTTCTTCTGACCCACAGAGCTTGGCAGCTTCATCTGCAATGACAGTGAGCTAAGTCCTATAGCCCTTGGGTGAAGCTGAGGGTGGAGAGGGTTAAACAGGGAGGCTCACAGGGAACCTCTGCAAGTAGCTATGGCGCAAATGGAACAAGCTGAGAAGTGGGAACAGTAAAGCAACTCAGCCTGGCCGTGTCATGAGACCCTGGTGAGCCCTCCTCTTTCCACAGCCCCTCCTACTGCTCTAGCCTCAGCAGCTGTAGCACTTAGGACATTTGGAGCCCAGGGTGCAAACATTGAAGGAGGTAACTCACCCGCTGGCTCCGAAGTGTGACACCTGCCGACTTAAAATCTGGAAACTTGATGCCTGCAGTCTCAGGAACAGCCTGAGGGGAAGAGTTATAGAGCCTAAGGTGTCATAGGGGGTGGCCCAGGGACCTACTGACGTGGTACTCTCTGAACACCCACTGAAGCTGGGGACTCTGCCAAATGACCCGTCCACCCTGAGCTCGTTGGGTCAGCCTTCACACCGGCTTCTCAGCCTCCTTCTTCTGGGGTAGCTTTTTCTTGGGGGCCTTGCGTTCTGTGCGCCGCTGCTCTGCAGTGGTGTCTGCTGCCGTAATCAGCTTTTGCAGGTCTTGGCTGCGTTTTTCCCGCTCTTTTTTCCGGGCCTCAATCTTACGAAGCTCCTGTAGCAGGTACTCTTCCTCTGCCACCTGCAAAAGCAAGAAATGCTTTGGCATGTGTGAAGGCTGTGTGGATGCAGGATGGCCAGGGAGCTGAGGGAACCAGAGGTAAGGAACCTGCAGGGAGGGGAAGAACAGGGGAACCACGGGAATGGGCTAAAGGTGGAGGACCTGGGGGTGAGAGAGTTGAGGCCATGGAGGGTGGGGAGGCAAAGGGTCTCAGGTATGGAGAAGAGGTCGTGACCTGCTCTGGGGTCCGGTTGTACAGCCGCTCCAACTGCTCCTTTCTCCGTCTCTCATGCCCAGCATCAAATACTGGTATTTTGAGATCTGTGCCTGGGACAGCCCTCACGTTGGCAAGCTTGGCACAAATGTGGTAGTACCTCTCTTTCAAATCCTCTACAGAGCGCTTCTGAGAATGGGGGCACATGGGGATGAACACAGAAGCATACGGCAGGGATGGCGGGAGGGCTGGACGCTCATGCAGACACACACTGGCTCACCTTGAACTGCTGGTGGTCATACCGATCATGAATAACCACAAAGCGCAGATCAAATCGGCGGCTGAGGTCGAAGAGGTGGTCAGTCTCGGCCTTAGTCCATGCATCATCATGAAGGTAGAGTTGGTACTCCTGCTCTGAGTACACTGGCACCTGCACCGTCTACTGGCACAAAGACATGGGACCACATTCCTTTGTCATATGTCCAAGCAGACTGGCCATGTGATCACACCCCTTGTTTATTACTAACCCCTGTGTGTGGGCAGCCTGTAGGAAGGAAAAACTGTCTGATGACTCTGGGGCAGTGGTCTGCCTGGTTCACTTCAGGACACCTTACCATCTTTGGGGATGGGCCACATGCTCCTATCTGACTTGTAAGCACTTCTATGGCACCCAAGGGTCAATTGTGGAGTCAAAAACCCATCAGAGAAATACCCAGTGCCCCTAAGCCGTGCACCACTTGTCTAAAGCACTGCTGCCACCCAGTGGTAACAGTGGGACTTGCCGATCTCAGCGCACTTCAAAGTTGGGCATCTCCAGAGAATCCTACTGCCAATGCCCCTTCCTCTCCTGGCCCACATTCCTCCTCCTGCCCCAGGTCTCTCTCAGAGTTACCAGCATCACCATAAGCTGGGTCTGTAGGTCAGAGACAAGGGGTCAGCATGGGCTATAACAAAAGTTTCTTATGAATTCAAAAATACAGCAGGCACTTTCCTGTTGTTCTTGGACACTTCCTACCAGGGGTCACATATGTCCAACCTTAACATAGGCCTCAACCATTGCCACCAACAGCCAGCAGCAGTTGCTGTTTGGTGATGGTCTACGTTTCTGTTTTGTGTTGACACAACCTTGGCAAGTGCCCTTGGCTGGACAGTACTTTCTGTGGAGACCAAACTGGCTCTAATTCGCAACAGCCCTCCTGCCTCAGTCTCCCCAGTACTGGGTTATGGCAAATACCATCTGGCACTGAATCTGTGACTTCACCTCCAGAGTCCCTCTCCATCCCCACAGCCACAATCCACTTAGACTGGCACAGCACCATCACTGGCCTACATTAGAGAAACAGAACCACCTTCCCACTTTCTCTTCAGTCCTCTTCCAATCCATTCTCCAGCTGCAGACAGATGTGACCCTTATGCTACTTACAAGGCCGACCAGTGCAGCCTGTTACACCTGGCCTACAATAAGAATGGAAACAGGGAAGCAATTGCATATGTCATTGTGTGCCCATAATGTAATATAAATATGAACTTGTATTACCTTAAAATCCTAGTATCTCTCTCAGTCTCTGTTGGGCTACAAATAGAAAATCTTGCCCCTTCCTAGGAAAGGTACTGTTGTTGATCACATGCCATGTCTCCATTAACCTCCAAGATAAAGTGCCTTCTAGATCATTCACAAATCTAGAGCAAAGTTTAGCTAGTTTATTTCTTACTGTTTGGGCTCAGCCTACCATAGGACCAGTGAAGAGCCACTCATATTAAAAATATGTGGCCTGGCCTCCTGCAACCACTAGTCCTTGAGGACCCAACTCTCTAGTCTAAGTGTCTGGAACACACCAGGATCTTGCCCTCAACTTTATCTTAATTCTATATCCCTTCTACCAACAGAACATGTTCATCCTTTTGACCTCTCAGGCATCATCTCCAAAGAATTTATCTGGTTACCCAGGCTTGGCTATATATCCTACCTTGTAATTTAATTTGTGTATGTGTGTGACGGGGTCTCACTGTGTAGACCAGGCTGGCATCAAATTCAGAGATCCACCTGCTCTGCTTCCCTGAGTGCTGGCATTAAAGGTGTGCGCCACTAGAAGCAGATAATTTAAAGTTCCCCAGACTTCTGGCCAGTCTCACTCTCAAATCAGTTCAAAATGACAAATTAACTCATTCATTCAACAAGCTTATGCTTGTTGGGGACACAGTGCTCACAGAGGTCACCTCTCAAAGCCAGCAATCCAACTGGGAGAAAAGAAAAACAGAAAAAACGATTTTGGTATTATATGGTGAATCAGATGATAAATATTAACAAGTGACACTGGGTACAGCTGGGCACAGAGCTGGTCAGAGAAAAAGTAAATCAAGCCTAGTCCTTTGTTTTTGTTTGTTTGTTTGTTTTGTTTCTGAGACTGGGTTTCTCTGTGTAGTCCTGGCTGTCCTGGAACTCGCTCTGTATACCAGGCTGGTCTTGAACTCACAGAGATCCGCCTGCCTGTGCCTCCTGAGTGCTGAGATTAAAGGCTTGTGCCTCCACTGCCTGACCAGGCCTATTCTTTTTATTTCTTACTTATTTTGCTATTGTTTTTACGTGTGTGTGGAGTTGGAGTGAGGTGCCTATGGAAATCAGAAGGCATTGGATGTTCAGAAGCCGCTGCAGTTTGAGGTGGCCATGAGCTGCCCACCCTGGGTCCTGGAAACCAAACTCAGTCCTCTGATAGAGCAATAAACACTCTGAATCACTGAGTCATCTCTCCAGTCCTGTGCAGGTTGTTTTGTTTTTTAATTCAGTTGGCCCTGAATTCAATATGTACCTGAGGATGACACTGAACTCAGGATCTTCCTGCCTCCACCTCCCAAACGCTGGGATTACAAGTGTGCACCACCATACCACGCAAAATCTTAAGGTTAAGGAGAAGTGAACTAGTGAGGGAGAGCAGAGGGGACAACACAAGTACAACATGAGATTACAAACAAACAAA